TTCTTTCTAAATCTTCTAGTTTTTAATATACGTACACAAGAGTCTAAAAATGATATTCAGTTCGTATTTTTAAAAGAGTGTAAAGTCCATCACATAAGGGAATTAATGCAATCTTCATCAATCCTATATAAGAGGCTTGTCTTAAATCCATTCGGTAGTTCGAATGTATTCATTATTTCTTGCTCAATTCTTACCGAACGGTTTCAAAGTTACAAGATTTTCGCACCTTTGAATTCCTCTGCTTTGAGGTTTGAAAAGTGACTTAATACACTCTGGTTCTGGGGTCCAGATATAGGTCCACCGCATGATAAATGGTGGCAAAGAAGAGACACGCTTACCTGCCCGTTTTCGTGATGATCATCTCGGTGCCAAGATCGTTGAACTTGTCCCACAATTCCTTCGTCTCGAGATGACACTCAACGTCCCGTAGCTCGTCCGAGTTGCAACTGGTCCGCAACCGATGTTTCCGCTCGTGATCACCGTGACCGTCCTGGCACTTTCTCGTCGAGGACACGCTCAGATCGTCCGGCGTGTTGTGAATCGGTCCGTCGTCGACGCTGCTGCACTCCTCGACGTCCACGTCGACCTCCTCGTCCTCTTCGTTGACGGACTTCTCCGTTCCTTCGCTCTCGCCCTCGCAGTTTTCCACCTCGTCGTCCGCCAGGAGGGCTTCCTCCGTCACGACGGTCGCGGTCGCGACTATATTCACCGGTGACGTCCTCATCCCTGTAACGATGACGATACTTCCACGTTAGTAAGTACATATTTACAATTGGGAGCTGCTGAGTTGCCCAGCTTCGACAAACTGAACGGTACAGTGGCAAATAGGGCATAGTGGCAAATGGGGCATAGTGGCAAATGGGGCATAGTGGCAAATGGGGCATACTGGCAAATAGGGCACAGTAGTAAGTGGTGTACTGTTGAATTGTCCAGTTCCGACAAAGTGAACGGCACAGTCGCAAATGGGGAACTGTGGCAAATGGGGTACAGTGATTGCAATACGAGTAGCAACGTTATTCCCACTACTAGGGGAGTCCCCGATGGAACCAATCAAAAGAGAGTAAACAGAAGCTAAGCAGAGGCTCAGCTCCGGGCAAAAAAAAAAAATTTATGAGGGGCTGAAAATCTTTCCGCGTTGCCACGAATATTCCGAAGTTGACTCAAGTTCGTTCCACTTATCGAGACATTACTGTATTTCGCCGACCAATGGTTAGCCCTGCAAGATACTACGTCAGTACCACGTGTGATTACTGTTATCGCTCTATCTCACTTGATGTGTTCTTTGTCACCAGGGAATTTAACTGGAGGGCTTGTCAGAATAACCGTAGGGACGATCGAGTCGAATGAAACTGAAACGCGTGAAATATCAAAGTGACACGCACAATATTTCCTCACGATTCATTTCTTCCAAAATCTCGAAACGACTACGTGTTATTCCCTTATGAAAAATAACGAAAATAACGTATTTTTATCGACCCCGTTTACCATTAAGCGTGTCGATTTAAACGAGAGCCCTGAGATGTTCCCGAACGATACGCGTGGCCGAGTGTGTTTGTGTGTGTCGGGAGGGGCGGGCAGATTTCAAGAAAGCCAATCCACCGCGCCAGTGTACACAATGTTAATTGCACCGGTCACGATACCGATCTGTTAATTTGTACTATTCCGCGCGAACAATGCGTCTTCCGGCCCTCGTATCTCAAATTGGATCCGCAAGTGATACACCCTGCCCCCGTGCATTTACGTACGTACAGTACACACACGCGCGCGCACACTCTGTTACACACGGGTGACACGGATATACAGGTTGGAAGAAAAAAAAAAAAATTACTTCGTCCCTCGCGACTAGTATATCAGACCGAACGATGCGTGCTCGAGTGTTTCGTAACCCCTTCTAGCTTTTGGTCGTTCGCAAACAAATAGCGAGTTTTCAACCAATTCCTCGAAATAAGCTCGAAACGATCGTCAGATGAATTTTCATACATATTACGAGAACCACTCAGAACTAATTCCAAGGATTTGTGCAAGTGGAATCGATCTACAGTGATCCCTCGATGAATGCAACACGAGCAACTGCGTTGTTCCCACCACTGGGGGTGTCCCCCTGTGGAACCAATCAGAACAAATGAAACAGAAGATAAGCAGAGGATCAGCTTCGGACAAGAAACAAATTTATGAATACGTCGCACTCGTCGAGACATTACTGTATCGACTATCGGTCGTGCACAGGAGCAGGCAGCCTCAAGACAGTAAACGTTTCACAAATGCAAGGATATATGCCGCACAAAACGTTGTCATCCGCCATCGAACCGTACGACGCGTTTTCATGTGGCCGTTACACGCTGTGGAAGCGTTCCCGCCGGGATGACGTTCGGTTGCGCGTGCTCAAACCGGTTTTTGTCGTCAAATTTCGTCGACAACGCGTTTTTCACAGCGGACAGGCGCCCGAGCAATTACACTTTCACCCGATATGTGTGTGTGTGTGTGTGTGTTTGTATCGCCTCTAACGTTCTCAAAAGCACCTTTGCTCTCCCCGTGTCGCGACGCGCATCACTTCTGCCTCGTTTTCCTCGTTCCACCCGAATCTGTATACACAAATATTTGATATAGCTTCTTCCCTGCAACCGGTTTTCATAATCGATCCACGCGCACACGCATTCGACCATTTTTTTAAACCTTTCTTTTTCTTTCGTTCCTTTTTTTCTCCAAAAACATCGTACAAAAAAAAGATGGTACAATGTGTGTATTGTGCACAGGGGACGATCGGTGCAATTATAGTCGGTCCGACGGTCGTCGAAAACCCGGGTAAAAGAAGAAAGGAGAGAGAAAGCGAAAGAGAATTTTGGCGAGGCGTTGAGCGCGAAAACTTGCTCGGAACAAGAGAGGTGTGTACAACGAGGACGCGTTAAAAAGGAAGGTAAGTGCGCACGGCGGATCGCGTGCAGTTCTCTCGGTCGTTGCGTGCGCTCCCGTCCATCTGCGTGCACGCTGCGTGTACGTACGCACTCACGGCAGCCCGCGAACTCATTGTCAGACGGGCACTTGTCGTAACACGCACGTATGTACGTACGTGAGCGGTCTTCACATTCGTCCAGGCAGGTACGCATCGGCGGATGTCATTTCTTTGACCAATACAGAAAATCCTCGATGAGTGTTCAATGCCTCCTCGGCACTGAACATGAAACATTTCGGAAACTAATGACTAGACTGCGGATTTTTATGCAAAATCAAAGTTGTTGAAATAAATTGTAAATACAGGAACAATTGTAGAAATTTATTTTCCCTCTTAAGTATCTTATTGGATTCAGAGTAAAATAGAAAACTCGTTGGATCGGATGGAAGTTTTGTTTTTTATTGTATTTTACAGAGCCGTATAGGCTATAAATGCAGAAAATCCGCAGTCTACTGATGGGGCTCTGTGAAATACAATAAAAGACAAATCTTTCATCAAATGCAATGAGGTATCTATTTTATGCATAACCCAACATGATATTTAAAAGGAAGAAATTCATACTTTGGCCCTTGTCTTTATCAATCACTTTACAAGATGTTATTTTGTATAAAAATCTGCAGTCTACTAATGACCATATATGGCTGAAAGGAATATCATTAGCTTCACAATTCCAAGGTCTGTCACTGTGCTGAACCTCGTTAAAAAGTCAGCGTTACACCTGCTAACCTTGTCAGTGTCGCGGAGCCTTCGAACACTCATCGAAGATTAACTGTAACGTTCTCCAGTTTCCATCGATGACCCAAAATGAATCGTTTCGACTTTCGAGAAAGACCGAAGTGGACCTGGTTCTCTCGCGAAACGCACGGCGGGTAACAGCACGCGAAACGTCAGGCGGTCGACTAATATCGAGGGAAAGACCGGCGTTAAAATTAACACCTCAACCCCCCGTATATATGCGTGTTGCGTGCGCCTCGATCGACCTCGGCGTTCTTTCACGAACATTACATATCTCGCCGCCGTGCCGTTCGCGGTTTTCATCTCGAATTTCTGTTTCCCCTCCGTCCTCGAGCCCGCTAACGAATACATCGTACTCCACGTTCATTCTTATTTTATTTATTTTATTTATTTATTTAGTTATTTAACAGATATAAACCCATTATACATACATAACATTTAATGAAGATAAGATTAGAAACAATTAGATCAATGTATTATACAGTATGAAATTAGTAGCGATAGGAAATTTTTACTAAAATATTAACTAAGATTAAACAGTTCTTAGTGCTCTTTCTAGGGATGCCTTAAAGCATTCAATAGAACCACTGAAAGAGTCAAACAGATCCGTGAATTTATTGGCTGATTTCAGGATTCGATAAATTGGATCACCTGAACCATTTTAACACTACACCTACCGACGACAAACGCATATTTGCTTCGATCGCTGGATAAACGTGGAAAACTTTTGAAAATTTAGAAATTGCCTAATTTCTTCACTCTCATATATTAATAAAAGATGCAAAAGATCTGAGAAAATGTATTGTCATAACATTTTAGTCGTCGTTGTAAGAGTGTATTGACCAGTCATTTTGACTGGTTTGGTAGTTCTAGTGTTAACCGGGTGACGATTCTGCACCGTAAGGATGAATTCTTTCCTTACGGAAAAGCCAGTTTTCGCTCTGGGCTCCGTCGCGCGCAAATCACCAGCCGTAAATGGATATATGTATTATATATGTACGTTCATATGTCCGAAAAACGAACGCAATAAGAACCTGCTGTCGCGCACCACACACTCGATGTGTGTGCCGTGTGTACCTTAATAACGTTCTATAACGACACGCGACCCGTTTGCGACCGCAAGCCCTATATTGTTGTCCTCTTATTTACGTGCTCGTTGAACGATGAGTCGCCAATATTTGCGTATCGTTCGACGGGTGATCGCGGTTTTCTGAACGGATTTCTGAGAACTGGATGGACATTTCGTCGACGTGTAGAATTACGAAGAAAAGGGAAACACATGAGAGAAGATTTCAAGAATTTACGGACTGTCTTTTATAGTCGACGAACACATCCTGGCGATTATATGTCGTGAACAACTAAACGCACGAATCGTTTGAAACAAATGCCCCCGAGTACTGAATTTTTTTTTCCTCGAATCCAAATAATTTTGTAGATACAGATTCTTAATACGACGATGTATCGTTGTATCGATGTTTCATCCATGAGTATCGGAATATCGAAACAACTGCACAAAACTGTTCCCATTCATTTGAGTGTACTACATTTTCTCAAGTGCAGACAATTCTATATCAGGTAGCGATAATGGGAATTAACAATTCACCCCACACTGATGTCATCGACAATCGACATTCGACACCATGTTACAGCCATTTATTTAGGCCTTTTTTTTGGTACAGATTACAGATAATTTATCGGAGTTAAAGGTATCGATAATCGATACTTCGCTTCTGATATTTCAGCCGTATCGATATTTTGACCACCGATATGTATCTATACAAAATATCGGTACAATTGACATGTATCGCCCATCACTACCCCCGAGCAAAGGATTTAAGTACAAAGACGTTATTGAAGCAAGATAATAGCTACCCCCAGGGGGCCATTCTGTTCAGTCTCTGAATCAGATGCACCTCAGTACCTCTACCGCCGTACGCATGATTCCAACCGACGATCATCTATACGGAAACTTAAAAACTAATAAGTCGTCAAACTAATTTAGATTCTCTGATCTGTAGAGTTCCCGTTAAATTATATCGTTCAGCTAAAAGGAACAGACCGGCAGAGACGAACCATGTCGTCTCACCGGAAGCTTCCGGGGGCATCGGAAAGGAAGGAGTTGGGAACTTTTGTCACAGTCTGCCCTCCATGAGGTGGTCCCATGTTCCATGATCTTAAGGCACGAAGAAATATGACCGAGCTACTGACGTCAGCTTCCTTTTGCCACGACCGACAGCCGACCACCCAGAATCCTGTCACCACCCGGCCGTTCGAAGGACGTTGGCTCGAAAGGATCGACGGAACGAGCCGAGTAACGATCGCGTTACACCAATTGACTTAACGCGCGCTCCCCATTTTTTTCGTTCTCGCCGAGAAAACCGCGAACGGGATCACGGAACCGGCAATTATAACGAGCTCTCCGCAACAACGGGTTCAACCGTGGTTTCGATCATCGAAATTCTATGTTATGTACGTACACGGCACGTTTCGACATATATCGTTGCTGCCACAATGTCGAGTTCTCTATTGTCGAAGGGGCCTGGCACGCACAATGCAATTTCACGTAACCGACATCTCTTATTGCTAGGTTTAACACCGTTTTCACTTCGAACTTTTGCTTATATCGATGCCAGATGCAAAGGTTTTTCTTGTCATTATCCGGTAGCATATCATGATAGGTATGTGTAGGTAACTGCGCGTGTTCGCGAGACAATGATCACAAGTGACGGCGATAGCAGAGATCCTATGAATCTAATTGCGGTTGGCTGTTTAATGTTTCCTACCTCGCCCACTCTCTCTGTCTCTCTCCTTCTCCCTTTCCCCCACCCCCTCCCTCTAGACACAGTAAAACTTGTTCTTGGGAACGATTAAGAATCTCTAGATTGCCACGGGTGCTGTAATGGCGTCGTTAAGTGCGCTAATGTGATTACCGGCTGAAAGCGGCGAACGGCCGGCCGGTTCAAGACAAAAACAGGAGCAATTTACGTTCCCTCCTAGGAAAATTGCCCCCGTCCGCGAAACTCGCCTTTTTTTCATCGGCCCTTCCCCCGCTTCGATATCGGTGCGTCGACCCAGTTCGTCCAGTTTTGCACAAGGGTATACAGACTCCTCTCGATTATTGTCCCGAAGTCGAGTCCGTGCCGGGACAATAATCGGGTAGGGAAAAATGCCTGAGACCCTCGTAAATTCTTTTTTTTTCCCGAACCTCGCGCAACAAAATATACGCTTGACAGGGTCCATGTCCTCCGTGATGGGATAACGCTCGACAATAATCGTGTAGAACAAGCCAGACAATAGTCGAGAGGAGCCTGTATACCGATCGGTAACGGTCGCGATTTTTCGTGGGAACTTTTCGTCTTCCTTCCCGTTCGAGGACCCGCCGAAATTGCACCAAACGTGAAAGTAGCCGTGCGTGAACGAACGGCGCTCGAGTGATCGAGTCTCCTCTGGCCATCGGCGAGAGCTCAAAGATAGGCCCCCCGGGATCCGTTAATTTCGGTGCGAACAGGTAAAATTTACGCGTGATCCGTTGGCAACAATTAGTCGCCTCTTATTTTCTGCTCCGCCGGTGCTCCCGTTTCAGACGCTAATTATCATCCGAGCCTCCCCCTCCCCTCATACACCCCCGGGCGAGCGTGCCTCTTTTGACTTCGCCGGTTCGAATTCTATTTTTATTCCCCCGATGAATCGGCGAGATACTAATCGAACGGATATGAGGCAGGCACGGGGCCGAATCTATTGAATTTGGAACGAAAAAGTGTCCCTTCCCGGTGAAACGAGAAAGTATCGAAGAGTAGACGATTAGTAGAGAACAAGCCTGTCAGCGAAGCGATCATTTCGGACACGTACTCAAGCTTGTTCGGATGAGACTAAGTTCAGGAAAACGACGACTGCAATATTATTTCGAACAAACTGTGGACGTCTACGGTGAACCGAGTCCGCGACCGGCAACGCGCACCGTCGCATCGCTTCGCGTCGCGTTGGACACGAAGCGTTAACGCGTGAGAGTACGAAAGAAACTCGAAATCGACGATTTTCTAGAACACCTACCACCCAGAAGTTGCGTTCCTATAGCTCGAGCACGGGCAGTTTTTTAATTGTAAGTGCGACGAAGCCGACGGTAGACAGACGAATCCGATAATCTCGCAAATATATGTGTATATATTACACATTGCGAATACATATCGAGCGTGTAAAATTGTCGCCGGTTGCGTTCGCGATCGTATCGTGTTTCGTCGTAGGATGAGAAAAACGACTGGCAAATACAAGGTGTAACATTAAGAACGATGCGGGTTGACGTGTCTCTCCCGTTCCCTACAAGGGGACACGGATCCGATCTTTATCGCGGGCGTTCTTCTCGCTTGTCCCTGGATACTTGTCGACACCTAATCGGCGCAGAGAAACGAACGCCTCTATCAAGAATTTTAATGGACGAAAAAAACGGGGCAAAGTTTCCGGTTTCGCGCGACTCTCCGTGTCCTATATCGACGGTTACGATTAGTTCGTGCGGTGAACGTCAAGGGGGAGCATCCGGAGTCGTTATCGAATGACCGGTTCGCGTGACAAAAAAAAAATAAAAAGAACCGAGAGAAAAAAGCGAGGGAAAAAAAAAAAGTAAACTCACGATGATCGAGAGCAGAGTTGACGACGAATCCTCTGCCAGTTGGACATTCCAAGTTGGTATTAGCGGTAGCGGCGGTGTTGCCGATGCCCTGCAGGTGGTAATGCCCGAAGGACGGACCCCTGGGCGCCATGATGGCCGCGATGCTGAAGTCTGTCGCTTTTCCCCTTTCCCCCTTTGTAGGCATCCCTTCTCGCGCGACGACACCTTGATTATGAATTTTCCGAACCTGCTTCTCTCTCTCTCTCTCTCTCTCTCTCTCTCTCTCTCTCTCTCTCTCCTTCTCTTTTTATGTCTCCTTCTGCCTTCTTCTTCTTCTTTCTGTCTACGTGAATGACTTCCGACCCTCGAGGTAACGTGTCTGGTTTATTTCTCGCTTGTTGCCGCGATCACTCGGTTCTCATTCGAAGCAATATACATACGATGCAACAACACCACCGTCACTCGCGAGCAAACGCGTCGCGATTTGTTCGTTCCCGTGACCCGTGTTTCGCCAGCGAAACGCCGATGCCGTCGACGATACGGCGATAGTCCGCGAAAGCAACGCACCTCCACTTCCCATCTACTGGTTACTTCGAGAAACGGTCGAGATCGCGAATCTCGAACGGCGTTCACGATAATGTCTCGAAACTGACGACAGACCCGGGAGGAATCGATTCGTCTATTCACGAGAATCGAACGTTCGACCGCGAACCAGGGTACGGTATTATCGTCTCTCGTTCGAAGAGAACGGTGTGATCGTGAAAAACGTTCGAACGTTGTTGCTGCTGTTGCTGCTGCCAGAAGATGCGACTCGAAAGAGAATATGGTACGACTAAAATCGTCGCGGCGCAGAACGAACGCGTCTGCGCTGCTCGACTTCCCGGACTCCACTGGGCTGCCGCTCCTCCTCCCACGCGCACCGTTCGCCCCACCAAGTTTTAACGAGGGTAACGGCAACACGGCGCTCGGGTTCTGGCCGGCGACCGGCGGACCGCTCACGTAGCGCCGATAACGCGACGCCACCGAACCGATTCGTTGCGACGCGTACACGACAGAGACGGAGAGTGCGCGCGCCCCTCTTGGGCGTTACCTTTTTCGGCCTCCTCTCGAGAGTCCGACGAGGCGGTCGCCGGGAACTCGGGGGACCGAACACCGGTTACGCGACGGACGACACGAACCCCAGGAAACCAACTGAACTACGATACGTAGGAACGTGCGACAAGGGCGGCGCCTGGTTCTCTCTCAAACCACCGACACGACCACCGCCGACTCCGCTACCTTCGACCATCGCCGACGATACCACCACCACCACTACTGCTACCGTCGTTGCCGCCGCCGCCACCTCCACCACCATCATCGCCATATCCAACACCGATACCGGGAGGTATCTCGAAGCGGCGTGGCCGCGCAACGACGAAAGAGAGATCGATCGACCCCTCGCGCACCGGATGCCCGGCGTTCGTACCTATCTGCGTATGTACCACGACTCTACGCGCATTGGCGTAGAACATCGTCTCGTCGAATTCGCGAAAGGCACGATCAAAATCCTCGTTCCACGATCCTTTGCTCGACTGTAATTTCTGAACGCCCAGTAGTCGTCTATGGATGTTTGCTCGATTGTTGACGAGAATAATCACGTGACGCGTTATAAAACCGAGAACGAGCGACGTAAGTATATTTAATCATATAGTAACGTTTGCACCGATGGGCGCTATAGATTTCAATAATTTCCCGCAACGGGGTAATTATCGAACGAGACGGATATAATTCGTAGGTGATTTGGTATGAAATTCCATCGTTCGTAACCGTTTACGCAAGGATATTACTGTCGTAACCGTTGTTGCGAGCAGCAACTTCGCTCGGAATCGGATTCAATGTTCCACCGGATTACGCCACTGCCTTTGGCGCAAACGTCGCGATATACGTATCCACACCGGCTGCTAATAGAGGCGTATTCCGTGTTGGGTCGACTTTCCAGGTGGAACCTCGTATCTCGATCACTCTCGTGTCGGAATTACAATACATATTCGAGCCTCGACGATTCGAGGTTCATCGAGACGCAACGCTGCTGCGAAGAACTTATTGGACTACGCGAAGTCTTCGACTGGACCGTTTGAAAATTATTCGACTTGAACCCGATCGTATTACGTGTCTACGCTGGTTACGGTCCAACGATGGAAAAAACACGCAAAAAGATAACCAATGGAAAAAAACGTCGACCAGATAACGGTAACGAAGCAGAAAAGCAGAAATCGCGATTAAAAAAAAACCGTTGCCCTGGTATCTATATAACGCGTTCGGTCCCGATCGATCATCACGTCACAGAATTCCGGCTGACGACTCGAAGAGCACCACCCCGATGGTGTAGCGCGTGTTATAATCGTGGATGAACCCCGCTTCACCGCATTGGTTGTATCTTTTTCGAGAGCACCAGACGGGGAGGGGGGAGATTTACGGCGTGTGTTTAGGCACTTAGCCGGTCTACGTAGACCCCCTTTATTATACTAATTTCTCGGGCATGTCAAAATACCTATCGTGTACCGGCCTCCTGAATTCTATTCGACACGCTGGGTGCCCCCGTAGTCGACCGCATAAAAGGATCCCATCCCGTATAAAATATGAAGACCCGTCTCTTCTTCCACCTCTTCTCTCTCCTTCTTCAGGTAGCTGAAAGAACGTGGCTCGTACTTGACAGAGAGAGAGAGAGATAGAGATAGAAGAGTCTTTCGAACCGCAGGAACGAACGAGCTGTCCCGGGGACCCCCCGTTTGCTTTGGCATTCGAATGTTTTTAAGGCGGTTGCGGATGCTCCGAGGTGTCACCGTCGCCTTTCAAATTCGTCACCCATGGTGAAGCTCGCCATTTAACGGGCTACAACTGCATCCACTTAACTAACTTTCTTGTAGTACCGCGGCAACCTCCCACGGGTCGAGGTTTCGACCGAATCGAGCCGGAGTTGTATACCTGCGCGGCGGCGGTTAACCATGGACCGTACGACGGCCGTTGTCCTCGTTCTGTCTCATTTACGAAGGGGGCGCGGCATCGGTTTTATTCAACGATAACACGGTCAACGAGATCGTCACGCACATACACACACACGTAGAGCAAAAATCTGAATTCCCATCGTGAACGTCGAATCGTTTGCCTCTTTCATGGGGAGAATGGGAAAAGGCGATGAAACGAAAGACAACACTGGAAACGGAAGGAAAACGGAAAAAGAAACGTGAAGAGGGGAAATGGTAAAAGAGGGGGAAAAAGGGGGGAGAAGGTGGGACTGAACGAACGAAATGGTTGCGGGGACGCGACGATAGAGCTGCGACGCGGACGGTACAGTGCCACGGAGAGCTATACGAAAGTCATTCATCATCGGACGAGAAGAGGAGGCCTGCGCGAGCTGGCATCGCCAGCCGGTAGTGGTTAACCATTGGAGGAGGAAGGTGGAACGGTAGAGGTGGCAGGCCACCCACGCCGTACGCACGAATTCGGTGGCCGCGGGTTGATTCTTCGGCCAAATGCACCGATTATACGGTGGGTATCGTTTCCTTTTTTTTTTCTTCCGGGTTGCACAGACTCTCGGAACCTAGACAAAGTTTCGCCCGGGTTGGTGATGAACGTAGTATGTATGTACCGTGTCGGTGCTCGAAAAACGACTTCCGAGGAGTTATCTCTCAAGCTTTCGAGGCCCGATTGGCCGCATCGATAACGTTACCGAAAGACAAGATGTTCCTCTCGAGATCGAGGCTGTTTGGCCACCGTCGCGCCGCTGTTGTACAGAACATTGTACATAGTAGCCGGGGTAGACGGAGTATAAACGAAAATCTTTCATGGCACGAGCGCTTCTTCATCTCCCTTCTCGAGTGGCCAACCACTTTGGAGAGGGTAAACGCGCTACCGCCTCCTCTCTGTCTCCTCTCTGGGTGTTCCTAATAATAACAACGAAATTACCGTTCGTGGCGGCGATAACGAGGAGACGATGTCGAGGGAGAAGACCAGACGAGTAGTAAACACGCCGAGCGAAAAGGAACAGAGGACTCTGAGTATGTATGGGGCCTCGGCGGGCGCATCTTTGTGAAAGGACATCGGGTTGCCAGCTACTCGAGAAAACCCCCTCCTCGGTCGAGAGCTCGGTTGCCCGTCGAGAGCGTCGCGTCGCGGCGCCAGCCTTTCGTGGTCTCTCGAGAATGGTACAAGTCGAATACTTTCGGCGTGGAAAACGTAAACTGTCTGCGTCGCGAACGTATCGTACACACACGAATTTCCCTAGTTTTTATGAAAGTTTTTCCCCACTTAGGAGGGTGGTGGGGGGAGAATAAGCCGTCGCGACGTACACTCGGAACGTGCATCTGCCGGCGCGAAGGATAAAACTACGCGATAACGTTCGGCCAGCCGAAAGCGAACGGGCGAGGCAACGAGCGACGATTATTCAAATTAAAACAGATACGAATCGCCGAAAACCCTCTAGGCGTGTGTATAGGAAGGATTTCTTGCTTACGCGAGAGAGAACGCGCGTCGCAAGTTCCGATCGCGCGCGCGCGCGCGCCTGCGAGCTCAAGCAAAAGCGTACATAATGCGGCCACATGCCGCGCGCGACACATTCCTCCTCCGCGTTCTTTTTCCTTTTCCTTCTTCTCCGCAGCGCGCATCAACGAGATTACAATGCGTGGGCACGAAAGTAGCGAGACGAGGGAAAAAGATGAAGCGGGAGAAAAAAAAAAGAGAAAGGTGAAAAAAGAACGGCAGGGAAGATGACTGGGGAAGAGCGAAGGAACGCGTTTTACAGGCGAACCTGGAGGAGTCGGTATATGTATGCACTCCATGAATAAGCCATGCCCCCTTTTGCCGGTGAAAAAAAAAGCATCGATCCTCGGGGAATTTTTTTCATCGGCATGAGAGATTTAACCGATCCCCGATACTGGAAGCGTTTCAACTCGAGCGATTGCCCGCGAAATCAATTTCGTTGAAGGATCGCCCGTTACGAAGGGTACGTGTACATATACCTGTGTGTGTGCGTGGGCAGGAATTAACCAATGACAGATCGAAGCCAATTATCGAACAGCAGTTCAGTCGATGGACGAATTTGCATCGTGGGCGCTGCGAGCGACAGTCTGTGACGAGGAGGGCCGAGCGCGACCCATCGTACCGTGCGAGTAAATTTGCTGATGGTAACGGAACTTCCGAAATGTTCAGGAACGACCGACGATGATTGTGTTGCCTCGTGTGTGTGTGTGTGTGTGCCTATGGAACAAAAATTTAACGGATACACTACGATCCACGCCGTGAACAAAACTGATTGTCGAAACAAAACCGAAGAACAGATACCAAAAGGAGTCTTTTGAACGCGATATGTCTGCGGAATGTCGAAAGAGGTTAGGTCACTCGTACGCGATAATGATCGCGTGAACACGATCGGCACGCGACCAGCACGTCGACACGAGAATACATATGGAGCAAATATGCATGGAATGCGTGGAAATGTAAGTAAATGGTTAAGTATGCGTGTTGTGATCGAAAACGGGCGGGAAATCGCGAGACGGACGATCTGAGTACGATCTCGAAACACGATCAACACACACATGCATCTTTGGGTTCGAGCGTGTTTGTTTATTCGACTTCTCGACGTTTCACGCGAATCGTTTCGCGACTGAATCGATAAATCTCGGACGTCTCGACGGAACGCGATATCCTTGAGTGCCGTATAATTTAACAACGTACTAAACTCTTTATTACCCGACAGTTTGTTATCCGCTCAAGGAATATCTCCACGGCGAGGCTATTCGATCCGTCGAGACGACAAACTTCTTCGCCGCGTTTTCCATTCGCGGGTTCATCGCCGACGCTACATTTCGAGTGGATTTCCGTTGAATTGGAAGACATAATACTGTACGTGTCCGATCGCGTCACACCCGCAGCCGTACAACAACGTTCCGTTTACATACTTGGCTCGACGATCAGGTAAGGCATACAATGAGATTAAAGGTTTCTACAATGTTTACCTATTTAGTGGGAAGGGGGAAAGGTACTTTATACACGTGAAGCGCGATAATTTCGTGATTCGACGATACTGCGCAGCCATTTCCCTCTCGATATCCGTAGGCATATAATACCTATGTAGACCGTGCGTTCTGAACATCTCCCATAATTAGGTTATGTCAAAAATAGAGTTAGTTGCTATCAGAGTTGGGCAGAATTTTATTCGAATAATACACAGTGAAAAGCCAAATGCGCGGTCCAGGTAATATACGTCCATGCTCGATACACAAGAAATAACGTTTCAGACAGTTCTCACCTTACGAAACCCATTCCCGCCTTCCCATTTACATTCCCGAATTCCAACGTCCGGGGCTCGCGACACCAGGGCAATTTCGGTAATTGTGTGTGATTTCATTTCGCCGTGCGCACGCCTCGAATCGTCCGGTCGCGACAGGAGGAGAGGATCCTCGTAAAACACACGCTCGCCACGAAGACCGAGTTAATAAAACGCGGAATCGCGAGAGACGTGTCGCTGCGGATTCACGAAACGGACACGGATATTAATATCGGGACGACTGTTAATTACGCGGTAGGCCACGACGGCCGGATATAATGAAGTCAGCATTTTACGGCCGCTACCGGTAGTAAGTTGTAACCAATGGAAAGAGAGAACACACGGGGAACACCCTGAGCGCTGATGGTGTCTAGGAAATATCAAAGTTGTAAATTTCGTAGCGGTACCGTGGTCGGCGGGGAGGAGGAGGTGGGGGGGGGGCGTCCTTCGAGAGATAAAAATCTCTGGTCCGAAGATACTGGTTCATTTTCACGGTGTGTATTTTGGTGGCTTTACGGAAAGGTCGTTTAACGAGATGCACACCCAGGTCTCTCTCTCGCCTTGTCCCTTTTTACACCAAGAGAGATCATCGATGGATTATAAAGAGGGATAAATTGTCCGGTCTGCGGAGCCGCGAGAAGCCACCCAGGGGGGCCGCCGTTGACCCCCGCGTGTTTCATCGTCGACGAAATCTTTTGTGCCACGGGTTGGTCGACCGGTTGGTACATGGGGAAAGAGAGAGGTCAGCGATCGGAGCTGAATCGTGAAATCTCGTCGAATCGACGAATAGCTTTTCACCGAAAACCATGGTAGTAGCGCGACGACGATGACGTTGTCGAGAGCTTTGGAAAGTCAAGGATGGAATTCCAGGAGGACCGGGGCCACGGCGTTACAACGTGTTTCACACTTCGGGTTACACGCCCACGCCTACCTCCTTCCCTCTCCCTTCCCCAAACAAATATATAATGCGACATTAGAATAACAAATACCGGTTGAAGCATCCACGCCTCAAGAGCCGCGGGGTGCCATGGGCCCGTAGCCGCTACGCACCAACATAAATACTAATACGCGCATAAATAAATGTATATCTTTAGAAGCGATTCGCTCACGGGAGGCCCTCCAGGGAATCGGGGAAAAATCTGCGGATTTTTTGGTCGATAAAAACCCTCGACGGAGCCCGAATGTGATCAGAAAGGGCTGCTTATACAATGTATACACAGGCCTTAAGCAACCGAAGGGGCCGTGACGGGGTTAAGGGGGCGGGGGAGTTGAGCGCCATTAATCGAAGGAAAAACCTCGATCCGGTAGATAATATTCGAAACGCGGTCATACATTTTACGATAACGAGATTCGTCGTAAAAAAAAAAATATACATATATATTTTCACGCGAAAAAGAGTGACATCGAATCGGGCCGGGGAAGTTATCCTTATTCTTTGTTCGCGGCGGGAGGATTAGCGGCGGAGAAAAACGAAGGCGGGGTCTCGCCAGGCACTTTTTTCCACGGTTTTTCACCCCTCGCCCTACCGATGCCCCGCGGGTTGTACTTACACGATACCGAATGGTCGCTTCGGGACCCTAATCGAAATTAGTTTTTTAATTGGGGAGACTTATTTAGCCATTAGGATCGCGGGGGAACGAAAAGAAAAACGAAGAGAAGAGGGAGGAGACGTACGCGAGAAGGGAGAATCCTCTCGACGAGCTAATCGTTCCTGTCTTTTTCTCTCGCTGGTTTTTCGGTGACCCAGTTAATTTCCGTCAAACGTTGGTCGCGATTAAAGGACCGAGGAGAAAACAAACGTCAACTGGGCAAAATGTTTACGTATTACATATTCACAATTTCGCCGAGTCGAGGCATGCGGTGGAAAATCAGACTAAACGTGCCCTTCGAGGGCAGGCAAATAAAAGGATGTCCCCCCCTTTTTTTTGTGTTAAATCTGATAACTGAAATTAGCAGCCACACCTATCAGCCTTAGTTGATTTATCGTACTGACATCTGGTGTGTGGTACTACCGATCTAGAATAAGGTATAACAAAGGTTAAAAGTTATTCTAACGAGCAAAAGTGGCAAAGACAAGGACGTCTCCGAAGAGACCACGGGAGTTAAGGTGAATGGTGGCCAAAGAAATAGGGGGGGAGGGCGTCTGAGTGGAGGGAGAAGGGGTTAATGAGGAGGTTGAAGGGAGTACCGGCGTAATTCGCGCTCAAATATTGCTTCAAGAAGTTATGGAGAGAGAGGGAGATAGAGAGTAGCTGTTTCTGGGGTAATTTCATAATTAGCGGGAGGGAAGGTGGGCAAAAAGCCGAAACGGCTGCGAGTTCCATTAAGCCGCGAAAGAAGCGATACGGTGAGCCTGGAAAGGGCCTATTGCGCCGAAACTAATAACGGAATTCCTTTTCCTCCCCCTCCCTGGGCCCTCCCCATCGAAAAAATTATAAACGCGCTCGTTACCCGCGATCTGCAGCGACCAAAACCAAGGGGAATCACTTACAGTCTCGGCTTCGAACGAGAAAGATGAATTACGATCCAATAACTTTTCGTTTTTCTTCAACGATTCCATTAGGAGACGGAAGAAAACTGCGATTTCTTCAGGGGTGTGTAGGGCGAACTTCATCGAATTCCATCGAGGATTAAGCGACCCCCGATTCGGAAGAAAGAAACAATTTGTGGTGGATACGTAGACGTGTAATAACTATTTACATTGCACATTCGGTTGAAGGGCTGTGAAATATTCGAAGACGGTACAGACTCCTCTCGATTATCGTCCTGAACTCGGGTCCGCGCGAGGACAATAATCTTGTAGGGAGAAATGCTTCAAACCCTCGTAAATTCGTATTTTGCCTGAGCCTCGGCAACAAAGTTTGCACTTGACAGGTTCCACAGCCCCTTCCCCCCTTGTAGTAACAACGCCTGGACAATAATCGTGTAGAACAAGCAAGACAATAATCGACAGGTATCTGTAGTAAGCTTTATGTCACCATTCTGCCTTCGTCGGACAGTCATTCCTCTTAATTCTGATTCCCAGGCAGCAAAACCTTCTTTATCGTACCATGTCTCGTTAGAAGAAGACCAGGTTGGTGCCCTTACAGCAACTATCTTTTTCTAATTTTGGGCACCGTCTGTCTATGGAAGACACTGAAACCGCACGGTCCAGGTATTATATGTCTGTGGTCGATAGCACAGTGCGATGAGATAATTTTGTTAAAGAGTACAACAAACACACAATCGAGTTCTTTGTCCTCTATATTCCACGAGTAGAGAACCCTCTCTCTCTCTCTCTCTCTCTCTCTCTCTCTCTCTCTCTCTCTCTGCGTGGCTTTTCCGTAAATTTCTCGCGCTCGATAGAAGAAGACGGGAGAAATTTACTTTGCGAATCTTCACCCCTCCGCGGAACCGTCTCGTAAATCTGTGTAAGGTCAGTGGAATGGGTTCAATGGTGGAAAGGTCGGGAGGTGAGGCGCGGAACGGAGTCACCCTCTTTCGAGATTGCTCTCTTCGAGCGGGACAGCTCGGTCGATAAAACAATTGCCGGGGGGATAATCGGCATTATTTACGCCGGATTCGCCGGCAGATAGGCGAGGGTAGCAGCTGGGGGTTCGCGGGGACTCTCCCACCTCCCCACCCCTTCCCGTCGAATCGGGTGGGAAGAGGGTTGCGTGTCGTATCACGGTCCGGGAATACATACTCTCTCTCCCTCGATCTCTCTTGGTGGAGAAGCAGCGGTGTACCCGACGAGAGAGGGTAGTTAGAAAAGAGAGGTCCGAAGAGAGAAGATTCCCCGGCAGTTATAAGCCCTGGGGTGATCTCGTGCAGCGGCTTCGTCGGCTTACAGCTTATCCTAGTGATCCGCCCTCGCCGTTAAACTGCTCCCAATTAGATACGTCACTGGATTTCGATGTCAACTGGGCTGTATAAACTGGCGATTTCTCCCTCGGGACCGTCGTGGCCGACCCGTCCTGCCTACTCCGCCGGCGTGTGGACTAACCTACCCGCAAAAATGGAGCTCTAACAAACAAGAAGAGAAGATAGAATATTTCTCTATTTCTGCAGTCGTGAATGATTAACGATTCGAACAGATCTCCTTCATTTCATCGTGTTAATAAGTCCGAATTGTATACCCACATCGATCAGATCCAATGGACGCGCGATCGACGAACGGAAGAGGGAAAG